CAGGCTTGATGCTAGCTGAAAGGGATCAGCCATAGAAACTGGGGATGGCTAAATTTTAACACACAGGTAAGCATAAAGACACCAGAGATCTGGCTGTCTCAGGAAATAGCAACAGTGTTGGAAAGGTAGTTGGCCTGTGAAGATAAAGCTAGTCAAGTAACATGACTACTGAAGTGTGTGAAACAATACAGACAACCATATCTACAAATATGGAACACACATTGGAACAAACAACTGATCAGATTTTGGGGAAAACAAGTGTCCATATGCATAAATGTCCAACAAACAAATGAAGTAAGTGGTGCTGAGGGAGAAAGGGAAACAGGTTACAGGGAAATGGAAAACAGATGCTGGAAAGTCACACAAAGAGGATCCTCAGATGGCAATCTAGCAACAAGTGATTGCAGACCAATGGCTTAGGCACTACATTTCTTCCAGTGGTCCTGTTCATGGTCACGTTATATTCCTTTTAGGTGTGTGTTTTGCAGCAGTGTACCTGTTTATTATTTCACCCTGGTAGTATACCTAATTAATCTTGTGTAGTTATTTTTACCTGCCACCCATATGTAGCTGCTGTTGCACTTCATGCCCTGCCCTCTTGTTGCATTATTATGTTATCCTACTGTTTGCATGGTACTTCCTGTGGCTCTGCCAAACTAAAAGAATGCTACCACAGATAGAACAATTCTTGGTGTTTTTCTGTCAGCATGGGTCAGCCCTGCTGAGCCAAGGCATGTATGGTGAAGTAGTACTGAGGTACTTCTGATTCAATGCAGTAGTGTTTCCACAACGCATTGCTTATTTTTTACGTCTTGATTATGTTGGGGGTGGCACAAGCCACTGAGAAGTGATACATGACTCATGGCGTCTGTGTTGTCAGGATCAACGCGTAAAGCTGCTGATAATGTCAAGGGTGAACTCAATTATATAGCCTGACAAGGACAAGTAAAACACTGTCTCTTTAATAAGCACACTGGTCAGACACAATCGATACTCAAGGCAGGAGTCTGATTCAACAAGTAACACTCTCAGGTCGATAATACAGTCTAGAATCAGAGCCAGCAAACTTACACAGCCGAGAGATCCACAAACGAGAGGTCAGAGAGGGGAGTCTAATAGTTGAGATACAGAAAAACATGATCAGAATCAGAGGGGTTAGGCAGTACTTGGTGGTCAATGGCAATCCAAGATCAAAACAGGAAAAACAGGCACAAGAAAAACGCTGGAAAGTCTGACATGAGTTAGAACAATCTGGCAGCTTCTAGGTGTGGGGAAGCTGCCTATAAGGGGGTGAAAACAGGTGCAAACAATAACTGCTGATTGGAGTAAAGAGTCTGAAACCGAGGTGAAACTGAAACAGGAAGTAATGTCCAAATAAAAGCATGAGAATGGAAGCCGATGGGACAGAATCATGACAGATGTGGTGTTTCTAGCTTGCAACATAGAACCCTTAGGTGCTAGGCATTAATTTAGCTCCCCACCAGAAGACCAAGTGAGAGACTCCATTTTCCAATATTCCTGCAGTGAAGTAATGTATAAAAAGTGGATGCTAAATGTGTATGGACACTCCTTCAGTGCAACATTTCAGCCAGTCACGTGTTTTGCCGAGTCAGAAATGTTAAAGACAGAGCTCGGCCCCACTCGGACCTGGGCTGGCTGAGCCCGAGTCAGCATGATTACTCCCTTCTGTTAGAGACATATGTAACCCCTACCCACCTGGCTTGGCTCAATTAAAGCAGGCTGACCTATGCTGATAGAAAAACACCATCTCTCATCATTTCTTACCAATCCAATGTTCACCACAATATATGTCTAACACTGTTAATAATGGCTCCTCATAGACTTGCATATTGCTCCATAGTTGTCTTAGTATTGAGAAAAAAAGGAGCCAGTATTAACAGTGAATCAAGTTTAGGTAGGTATTTCCCTTATGTTTCAACAATGACTCCTGCTACTCATCCTGTCTCACCTATTTCTCCTAGTGAATTATTAGGAGAAACATATCAAAAACACAACAGACAAAATAGAAACTATAATGAGGCCAAAATGAGAATCATATGTTTGCCTCCTGAGCTGTAGATGCTTTGAGCAGTAAAATTTTCTTCAAGGATGTGCTGGCAGATTGACTATACAACATTCGCTGAAGATGAATGAGGGTGAAGCTAGTTGGAGCAAGCAATGAGAATGGGACAAAGACCAAAGCCCAGGGGCTTGTGTAAACAATAACCAGTGAAAACCTGGGTGGAAAACAGAGCAATGTCTGTGATCATGACAGAAACACATACAAGTCTTGGCCAATTTTAGCAATAATAGTGAGCAGTTATCCCTTACAGGTATGTGCCAAAAAATTAGAATATCAAGGAAAAGTCCATTTATTTCAATAATTTGTTTCAAAAAGTGAAACTTGTATGTTATATTAGTTCACTGCACACAAAGTGAAATATTTCAAGCCTTTATTTGTTTCAATTTTGATGATTATGGATTAAAGACAAAAAAAAAAACCCAAATCCAGTATTTCACAAAATTAGAATATCATGACAAAGTTCAACATTGTAGGCTCCCTGTGTCCCAATCTAGTCAGCTAATTAATGCAAAACACCTGCAAAGGTTTCCTCAGCCTTGAAATTGTCTCAGTCTGGCTTAGTAGGCTTCAGAATCATGGGGAAGACTGCTGACTTGACGGTTGTGCAGACGACCATCATTGACACCCTCCATAAGGAGGAAAAGTCTCAAAAGGCAATTGCAAAAGAAGCTGGATGCTCACAGAACGCAGTAAGAATTGTGCATAAGATGGGGTATAGGGATCACACCAATGGAGCTTTCATACAGTCTAAATTGTTAAAATTTTTTGATTTAGTGGGATATAAGACTGCAGTGTTTATGTATAAAGCCAGGAACAATTTATTACCTGGTGGAATTCAAAAATTATATAATGAAAGGGAAGGGGGATACAATTTAAGGGGTCAGTTAAATTTAAAAGTTCATGCTATACAACCAAAAAAAGATTTTGTATTTCCATAAGCGGGGTACAACTATGGAATAATTTAAGTGGGGACTTAAAAAATAGTAAAAGAATTAACGAGTTCAAACGTAAATATAAAGGTGTGTGTCAATCAAGATATATGCAAGAACAGGCTCAATAATTATATTTTGTAAAGCATTCTTTAGTATATCATTTGTGTGATTTAAGAATGTTAACACTGTTATATTCTTTTTTAGTATAATGTTTGTGTGTGCAGAAGTGAATCATTTATTGCTTGCAAACCAATGATGGTAAGATGATGTTATGGGGTAGGACTGGATAAGTCTGACTTCTTCCTACTCCATTCAAGCATGTATTAGGTATATTCTAATTTTTTGGCACATACCTGTATGCCAGTCAGGGTTGCTACTGTATGTCAGAACAAAGTTTTCCAAAGTGTTCACAGATACTATAATATAAGATTTGGCTGTATGTTTTGTGTGTGCACATGTCCACTGTGTGAATATAACCATAAAAACAAATAACTTAGAAAGCATGATATTAAAATGTCTTACAAAGCCAAATACCAAGCACAACACAGGCAAATAGAGACATGCCCTGTCTCCGATCCCTTAAGTTGTCTTTACAAAATATTAATGAAAAGGATGTGTTACAGAGTTGGTGACCAAGGTTTAGGTCAGCCAGGCACTCGGCCCCAGCCAATGTCCAAAACACAATGCACTGGCCTCCTACAGCCTCTCCAGCAGGTGGTGGGCCCACCAAAGAGTGGCTCCACATTATGGTTTCGGGCTGAACCCGACCAGGCCCCGTGGGTATAGGCCTGGCCACCAGGCACTCAGGCACTCGCACGTGAGCCTCTTCCCCAGGCCTGGCTCCAGGGTGGGGCCCCGGTGTGGGACCCCAGTGACCCCATACCGGGCGGGGTAAACGTGAGCCTTGATTTTTTGTTAATCATAAATGGCCTATGAATCGCCCTTTGTCTGGTCTGTCATCCAGGACCTGTTTGCCATGAGAGACATATAGCTCCCGACAACATAGCTCCTGGGACCATTCAGGCACTCAAACCCCTCCACCACGTTAAGGTGTCGGTTCCAAATCTGAGGCCATGATTCTCAATTAGAAAAAGGTGGATTGCTCTCTCTGGGTTGGGGGCGAGTTGCTCCCTCAAGTGGAGGAGTTTAAGTATCTTGGGGTCTTGTTCACGAGTGAGGGAAAAATGGAGCGGCAGGTTGACAGATGGATCGGTGCAGCATCCGCAGTAATGCGCTCTTTGTACCAGTCTGTTGTGGTGAAGAAGGAGCTGAGTCGTAAGACGAAGCTCTCAATTTACCGGTCGATCTACGTTCTTACCCTCACCTATGGCCATGAACTTTGGATCATGACTGAAAGAATGAGATTGTGGATACAAGCGGCAGAAACGAGCTTCTTCCGGAGAGTGGCTGGGTGCACCCTTAGGGATAGGGTGTGAAGCTCAGTCACCTGTGAGGAGCTCAGAGTAGAACTGCTGCTCCTCTACGTTGAGTGGAACCAATTGAGGTGGCTCAGGCATCTGTTTCGGATGCCCCCTGGGCGCCTTCCTGGGGAGGTGTTCCGGGTATGTTCCAAGAAGACCTTGGGGCAGGCCCAGGACACGTTGGAGAGACTATGTCTCCCGGCTGACTTGGGAATGCCTTGGGGTTCCCCCTGAGGAGCTAGAGGAGCATGATCTCAGATTGTGGCTTTAAGGTTTCTAAATCCAAATTACAGATTGGTCGACCCGGTCTCGGTTGAAGTGAATGAAGATGGATGGATGGATGTGTTACAGTTCCATTCTCAATACGATGTTTGCACACAGTTTTTTATACAGGGTTTTACATTCATAACTCCTATTTGTATCAAAAATATATGATGCTTTGATAAAGACCAATAAACTGTCACAGTTTCTGAGTAAATACAGTTGCTTTTATTCTGTTAACATCTACTGTTACATTAATGTAATTCCAATAGTCTATTTCTAAAGACCTCAATGCAGTGTAAGTCAGGGCAATTTTGAGTTAGCAAAATCACCATGGAATATTTTTCCAGAAATAATCGTTCTGAAGGCTGATCTGAACCAGCTGTAAAAGAAAGCATAAATAAATGGATTCAACATTGAATTTGACAGTGCAAGCCAGTTCAGTGTTTCAATCACAGGAAGTGGTACAGAATTATTAGTAAGAGGCAAAAAGGTGGTGCAAAGAAAGAAAGGAGCCCAGCATAAAAGAAAAACCCCCAAAACAGTAGCCAGAGTTTTTGTAGCCTTCCTCTCCATCTTACTGACAGCTCCTCTGGACTCTGGACTCTGACTGGTTGTGTTCTGGATGCTGCGTACCTGTCTCTGTGCAACAAGGAAAATCTTCAGGTAGATACAGAGCATTATGATGACTGGGAGATAAAATGATAAAATAGGTCCAATAGTGTTTGACATAAGAACATCAATTAAACACCATTCCTCACATTCTTCACTGTTTAATCCAGCAATTATGACACTTATTCCTATTAGAGCAGAAACACCCCAGCTCAGCACAATCATGATGACAACAATGTGATGATTTATTTTAATTTTGTATGTCAGAGGCTGACACACTGCGTAATATCTGTCAATAGAAATACAGCATAGATTCAGAATAGAGCATGTGCTCAGTGATATATCAAAGCTGCCTCGTATCTGGCAAAATACATTTTCATGATAAATACATGAGCTGAGAGAGAATGCCATGCTGAAAGGAAAGACTATAAGCCCAACAAGCAGGTCAGCCACAGCTAGAGAGAGGATAAGGTAGTTTGTAGGAGTGTGGAACTGCTTGAAGTAAATGATGGAGATTATTACCAGAAGATTTCCACATATTGTAACAACAGACAGTAACAAAAGATATATATATAATAATACACATATAACAGAAGAGGTGCGTGCCAATACATAACTGTAATCATCTATTACATAGCAGGGATGTACATAAGTCATATTGACAGTAACCTCTGTTTTCATGTTGTTGGGTGTCTACAGTTAAAGACAATTCATATTATTATCAATATCGAAATCATCATTTAAAATATTTTAGTGATAAACCTTGTACAGTGTGAACAAAGTCGGTTTCTTAGAATAACATGGGTATAATTTTGTTTCGTTTAGCTCTTCATAAAATGTTTGTATCATATCTGAGAAACCCTCGATCATCACTGTGCCAGGGCTGTTGGCTATTCTTGGTCACATATGCAGATTCTTAATATTTATCAGTCTTTGCTGCATTATCTATAGTTGCTGTCCAATCAGAAAGCAGAAACTAAATTCTGTATGCAAGATATTCATACAAAGGCTGAGCAAGAATAGCCAACCAATGACAGTGTGTGTATGTGTGGCCTTTTTATATATACTTGTGGGGACTGGAGGCTTGGCATATTGAACAATTCATTGAATTTTACAAAAATGATGAGGTAAAAGGTTAGACCAAGTTTCGGCTTTGGTTACGGTCTAAGTCTATGTATCACCTGGTACTGGCTCGACTCAACTCTATTCTCTTTTGGTACATAGTCCTTGGTTTTACATTGCAGATGGTCCACTCTCAGTGTAGCTGGTTGTCATAGCAACACTGCATTACACTGCCGTGATGTTGTCAGCAAGCAGACAGTAACAAGGAAGTCACTTTTTAAATTTTTCCCGACAGTGCTGAAATGTCCTTTGTACCCGTGTGCGGCCAACAGTTGAGAGATTTCCTGGTCGTTACGTGCTGCCCCATCCAGCTCTCGCTGGATTTTTTTCATCAACTGTTATATGTGTATTATTATATATATCTCTTTTGTTACTGTCTCCATCAAGCACAGTAACATCTGCACCTCCTCATTTGACCATGGCTTGGTTTTGCAGGCTGCCATGTAATCAGTATGGTTTAAGTAATTATAAATACAGGCCAAGTAGTTAGTATGGTAACAACAGTAAAATAACAGTTAACATTAAATAAATTAAATTGCTTTTAAAAATGGAGATTCTTTTTCCAGGACATCTCACATATTGATGACATGATTTCTGTGACCATTCACTAGACTGCAGTGTTTATATGTCGCACTTTTGTATCACCTCGGCTCACTTGAAACTTCTACAGAGGTGATACCCAAAATAGTGCATTTGACTGATGGAAAACAAATGAGATAAGTCAAGCTGAGTCAAGTTGAGCCGGTACCAGGTGGTGGAAAAGGGGCTTAAGTGACGGACGACAACAGGGATGTGTGTGTGTGTGTGTGTGTATTCAATATAATTTTGGTCTATTTAGGATTTCTAAATATAACTCCATATGATCATTTTAACCTTTGATTATAAGATCAAGAGTGCATTTGGTTGACATTTCTCTTACTGATCAAGTGCAATGGTAACCTCCAGCTAACAAGCTGTGACCCTGGATAATAAATGATAACAAAGAAATTTTGGACCTATTTTATGCCAAAACCAAAGAGGCATATAACTCATCACCCCGTCCTCTCCTTGGAAGATCAGCTCACAACCTGGTTCAACTTTTGCCTGTGTATAAACCCCTTGTACACAGGGAACCAGTTGTCCTGCATTGACCAATTATGTACCAGGGATTATGGGGACATGGACGCCAATGTGAAGAAGGTTCTTTTGTTTACCTTGTTAGCATGAGCATTCACTGCTATTCACTGTAAAATTTGGGCCACGCTGCTGTTCACTGTTGAATTTCGGCAATAGTTAACACTGCATAACAACACGCCATGCATTTTTGTTAGTACTTGATGTTAAAGAGTGTTTTTTATTTATCAGTGCCGACACACTGGTGGTAGAATTGGTGCTAAGGTAGAGTAGGCTACATTAGCAGCATGGCTAACCAAAACACAATGGAAACTCCCAGGTTGAAAACATGAATGAAACCACACACCTCAACTCACCACAACGTGGACGTATTGTACACAACTACAGGCAAGACGCTCAGGGCCAGGAAACAGGAGTCACTCACTGGAGTTATGTGGAGGCTGATGGCAAATGCAAAACCCCTCCGGGGGGCAAGCAGAAGGCTGACAGAAAAGCCAGAACCCCTCAGGAAGATGGGCAGGAAACTGTTTATAATGAAGATTGAGGGATCTCCAGGGTACTGGTTTGAGTAGGTTAAACTTATGGGGTGTGAATCCAAGCAAAGAATAATGGGAAATTAGTCCTTCAATAAACCATCTAAAATCCACTCCTGCTGTGTTGTACTTGGATGTATGAGTGTGTGTGTTTCTGAAAAGGGGAACAACAAACTCTTAATAGCTAATATTCAACAGGATTGAATCATTACAGTTAGAAGCTAAAGCTGATGTAATATAAAGTACCATGGTTAAAACAAGTCTTATTCAGAGATGGGCAGCACGGTGGCACAGTGGTTAGCGCCAGTGCCTCACAGCGAGAAGGTTCCGGGTTTGGGCCCCACCTGGGACCTTTCTGTGTGGAGTTTGCATGTTCTCCCCGTGCTTGTGTGGGTTCTCTCCGGGTACTCCGGCTTCCTCCCACAGTCCAAAGACATGCAGCTTAGGTTGATTGGTGTCTCTAAATTGCCCATAGGAGTGCGTGTGTGTGTGTGCGGTTGTTCGTCTATGTGTTAGCCCTGCGATGGATTGGCGACCTGTCCAGGGTACGGGATTGGCCCCCCCCCCCTCCCCGTGACCCTGTTCAGGGACTAAGCGGTAGAAAATGAATGAATGAATATTCAGAGATCACAAATTCACCATCAGTATACAGGTGACTTCAACCTAATTAGGAGGCTCAGTAAATGATTTCTACTGATATTCACTAACTTACTTAAAGCAAAATTGTTGATAAAACATAACCTACTGACAGTAATAGAGAAAGTGATGCTGAAGTGCTAGCTGAATTTAGCTGGGTGTTAGCCTACAATGGTAGCATCAATTAGACTAGACAAACAAACAGAGCAGTCAGATGGAGTGATGTGGAAATATCTAGCGTGAAATTTACATGCTCTCTGGATATGAAGCTGACAGGATTATTGTCCATTCACGCACAGTGAAGACAGCAAGAGCGCATGTCCATGTTGAGAGCTGCTCTGTCATTCACAGTGCTCAGTGATATATACTGTTGCACCCGGTACTTTTAATCATGCTAACTCTGAGAGACGAAGCAGTCCAAGTAACTTCAAAACAGTGCTGATTTATGCAATGAACACAGGTAAAAATGAACATTACACGCTCAGGTATCTTGCACCTCCAACACGCACGCAGGCAGCTGAAAGATGAAAGACCCTCAACCACAACAGGCCTATACATTAGCCCCATTCTACACATAGACACGCCAAACCGTGACGTCTCCCGGTGCTGCAGCTGCCCCGAGGAGTAGTCAAAGCACGAGGAAAAATCAGTGTGTGAATGTCTGTTGATTACGTGGTGTGTAGCTAAAACCATTCTAACACGCCCTCTAGTGACATGTCCTGACATTAAACATAAGAAAATATTATGGCTATGGCTACAGTTATACACGTCATAATAATAATAATAACCATCCTGTCTTCTAACAGTCATCAACTTTCTATCTAGTTATCCTTGACCATAAGCACCCTGCAGCACTCATGAGCATGACTAAGCATTTAACAGCCTGAGCTAGACACCCTGTCTACTCTAAACATTTCTAATACATCAAGTATCTAACCAATATCTATCTGACTAAAAATACCTAACAATACATTTATGACTGACACAGCACTCCATGACCAACGGAGGGGAACTTCCTCTGTCAGTGGTACCAAACGAGCCACTGGATGAATGAACAACCTATCCTTGGTCTGGACAGCTGCTGTTCATAACCTTCCATCAGCCCCAGAGTACATCTGTGTTATTTTTCCAATTGGCCACAAGGCCCTTTGCAAATGAGGGTCAACAATTAGCACCACCTGGTCAGCTTTCAAGTTCTTGGTTTCAGGTATCCTCTTTCTCAATTTTGGGCAGTGAAAAAGTGTTTCTTCTTAAAATGACTTTGCTGAATTGGACTATCAAAAGATACTGTAACTCCTTAATGACTGTGTTCTTATTTTATTTATGTTAAACTGTAACTGTATTTGTAGTATATGGTTTTATACTTCACTGCTCTTATCTGCTTTTATCACTGTATTGTTTGTTCTTCCTGATGTTGACATCAATTACAGTATCATGGTTTAAAATACAAAGCCCTCTCATAGCATATTTTTTTAAACTAATATTTTAAAACACAATAATCCAAGTGCTCACATATGTCTTCATAATTCCTCTAAGTCTCCAGTTAGGTGATCTGATGCAACACTCAACAGCCTTCAATTAGAGGTGTGAATGTTGGTCCCTGAGCTACCATTGTCCTAAACACAGACACACACACGCACCCTCTCCCACACACACACACACACACCCATATACACCCTATCTGCCTGCATTATCTCACCTCTCCAACCTGGGACCTTATTGTTTTCAAGCTATAACAAAACCAGTGGAGCAAAACAAACTCTTAGCCACTTAATGGTCAGAATAATGATATAATATACTCACAGAGTCAAATTTAATGAGGAGCAACAAATAAATTAGAAATGAGAGAATAGCTTTCCTTACAGTCTAAGGAAGTTTTCTTAGGTGTAAAATTTATCATTCAGTCTATATGGATTGCCTCCATTTGCATTGTAGTGTTATGCGACTGAACATATAAAGTCAACAGAAATAATCAGTCAAATTAAAAGTTCTGTTATGGTTAGTCCCCCTCACCAGGAGGGTGAAGGAGATCTAGGGGTTGGACTCAAGATTGCTGACCCAGGTGCTACTACAAAAAGGGGGTTTATTGTAAAAATCAACAACAACAAAGTAACAACATAACAGGGTCCGTAATACTTACAATAAGGACAACTAAGGAGACCAGGACGAACAGGTACACACACAAAGTAACGGCAGGAAACAGGAGTAGAGGACCAGGAAGGACAGGCGAACAAAAACGGATATCCACAGAAC